TTTGTGTGATCTTTGCTAAGTGTTGAACGTTTAACTTTTTCTTGTTTATTGTTCCATATAAAATTATATATAAGTTTTTTGAAGTCTTTTATGTAGATTTGGGGAATGGAGACAACCGATGCTAAAAAAGTAAGATTGGGTAAGATAAGTGACTTAACAACTGTTATTCGACCTATCATTGTTAAATTTCTTCTTTCCCAATCGAATATTAATTTTTTGACTGTTTCATTATTTTTTCAATATTTAATTTGTCACATTTGTCTTTATCTAACCCAAAGTAGACACCTAAACTTTTTATTGGTTCTTTGCTCCAGTGAATATTTTCAATTTTTTCTTTACAATGTTTGAGTCTACCCAACCATATACCTTCTGTTTTAGATTTATTGAGTTTTAAAACAGAAAGTGTTCCGAATATTTCTATTAGGTTTAATGCTAGGCTAATTTCATTTTTAGAATTAAGAAAGAGAGCTGTGTCATCAGCCAATTGGGAAATTTTTAGACTATGCGGTTTTTCATCAAGTTTAATTTGAAAACCTTTAATGTTAGAATCTTGTCTTACTCTACTGGCCAGGATTTCAACTGCTCTGCTGATATATTCTAAGGCTTATCAAATTAGATATATTCTGTCTAAACATAGCCATCGTCAAAGAGTACACTCAACGGCTGACAATCAGTGAATAGAAGAATCGTTTATCTTCACCACAACATATTTAGGTTTTGTTCAAAAGAGAGAAAAAAAAAACAACAACGGAACTATAGATGACACAAATATCATATACACAAACATTACTGGATGTGAATATCCAGAATTTATGGGAAGAATCAATCCTAAGATCGGTACCAGTCAGAAATTTGAAAGCGTTACAGACAAAAAGGGAAATCGTGTTTTCCATACTTTCTTTCCGATATTGACAGTAAATACTGGTCTTTTTCATGAAGTATATCAGTTACTGATAATGACCAACAGATTCACGTCAATGCTTTAGACGAGAAAGAATTGAAAGAATTATCATTTGATCCACTTGAAACAGATTCAGTAGATGTGAGCATCAATGTCTTGTTTCATTGTTAATGAGACTGTAATTATTAAAGATTTGTGTTTATAACAGCAAGCTTTAATTATTAAAGATGAAGATGGATTGATGAAAATAATACTTTATGAATTTTGTGCGTCCGAAGCGATTTCCTGGATTTAGCTTTATCAGAATCGCCAAAATTTTAACATTTAAAAGTCAGGGATGTATAAATACGTAGAAACTAGCGGAGTTATGTGACCAAAAGGGACATAAAACTAAAGAAATAGAAAATTCATTTAAGGTCGACTCTACATATGGGAGTTTGTATCATAGTTTATTACCAAACGCAATTTATCAATGTGGACTTTTAGGGAAAAAAAGCAAAAACACTGAGCTGATAATAATTTCGAAGACTCAAATTTTAAATTGTTTAAATTTTGCTAAAGAAAGAAGTTAAAATTTATTATACAGGTTACTGCCAGAGCTGAAACATTGGCTACGTATACTGGGTAGATGAAGATCAAGATGACCAACAGCTCAACATAAGCAGTACCCGACTCCTCCCAGCGGTACTAAAAAATTCAAAATTAGGTGAAGTTAATCCCAATCCTGTACTTTTCTAGATGAAAGTTCCCTAGGAAAATTTAGTTTCAGAAATGTAGAGACAGAATAATGTATAAATTCGGTGGAAGGGAACAAAAATGATTAGTCAATCCTAGAGGTTAGAGGTCATCGCTGCCAATATATATATATGACTACAAACGTGAATCCCTTCGAACATTTTACGGATGCCATAACAAGTTAGTTGACCGTTATGAATTATCTGTTTTATGGATGAAGACAGATATGTTGCAATCGTCGTAACCTTAATTCCGACCTCTTTTTCTCGAATATGACATCTCCGAATTTGAGCTAACACGCCGGTTGTCACTTGTGGAACAGGATCTGCTCGCCTTTTCAGAGCACCTGAGTTTTTGATGGGGTTTATGTTGCTCAGTCTTCAGTTTTCGATGCTGTTTTTTAAGACTGTTGTTTGTCTTTTGGTCTTTTTTGGTTTTTAGATATCTTGATAGGTCAGTTTGTTTTCGACTTTGAATATCCCATTGGTATATTCCACATCTCTGTTTGAATGATTGATTTACTTTTTGTGACTCGAAATGTTTTTCTTTCACTTATAATAGGTAAAAAAATAGATAAACAAATAGATATCTTAATCTTATTTTATAAAATCAAATATTTGAAATATATGAAAATTCTGCTATACGAATTTAGAGATTACCCATACCAAACAAGCGGTCTCAGTCAAGCCTCAGTTTTTGACATCTGTACTTTTAGATGGACTTTGGCGCTTCAGAAGAGAGTCTCTTGTGATGGCGTCAATTCAATAAGAGTCCAATTCTAGCTAGGCTAGAACCTAAAGGTTCAGGAACAGTATTCGGATCCGTTATCGAACGCCTAAGGTGCTTGCACTATTTTTCTTCTCCAAAAACCACAAATATCAGTTATTTGGCAGTTACTAGTTTTTAGACATATTCAATATCGATAAATGTTCAAGATTCAATTCATATCAAGTCCTTTTTTGTCCCTGTGAACTTGAGACTCCCCACATTAGCCAATACATGTAAATTGTTTATCCTTATTGTCAATGTTTATTATTACCGCAAAGTGAACCTACTCAACAAACCGACAACTAAGTACAACCCGTCAAGGGAAACCTTGCAAACCTCAGTACAGACTGTATAATTTTTCAGCTGCTCCCGAGATCAGCTCACTCCTCGTGATGGTTTATCTAATCGAAAAACTGTAGATTCATTTAGTTTTGTTAGTATCACTTTTTATGGATTGATGAAATAATGTGTATATTTGATTTCGTCAATTTGCCAAAGTCTACATACAACCACATGCATTTAAATTCGTGACCTACGAAATCCATGAAAATGAGTATTCCACGATTAATTATAAATCCACAGTGATATAGATGTGTTCTAACAGGCACACATAATTTGAAAATTCGTATAACATTAATGATTCAATTATTTATCATTACCACTATAAGAGCCAACTCGTGATAACATCCGTAGCTTAATTCGACTTAAGGTCAACTTTCCCTGAGGAGATGGAACCTTTGTTTTTTTTTTTAATAATTTCTTACTTTATCAACCGATAATTGAAAAAGGATATGTTATGATTCATGTCAGAAACACAGATTTGACTTATGAGCTGATGATACCCATGAAGATAAAGCAGTCCACAAGCAACGGTATCGATCGATCGTGAATAATATGGTGGTTCCATGCAATAAAATGGTCATATGGATCACATACATACTTCAATGTTTCACACGTTGATGGACATACTATATGCAATGCCTTAAAAGCTCTTATCTGGATTTACCTTTACATGGGACGCTTACGGAAATAGTTTACGAACTGTTAGGTGCTCTACAAAATTTCTTGATGATTTCACAAGCACATATAGTCTGCTTTCCAAATCTAATCTGTAACTTTGCAAATTTATCAATGACATCTTATCTTTTATTTTAAGTAAAAAACTTTTGATATAACAAGTAATTTTTAAGTAAAGATTGTTTACAATTTTTAACGCCTATGTAATACTTTCAAAAAGAGAGGCTAAAGATACCAAAAGGGACATTTAAACTCACAAGTCGAAAATCAACTGACAACGCCAAGGCTTAATTAGAAAAAAAAAACAACAGACAAACAACAGTTCACAACACATAACATAGAAAACTAAAGACTAAGCAACAAGAATCCCACCAAAAACTGGGGGTGATCTCATGTGCTCATGAAGGGTAAGCAGATCCTGCTCCACATGTGGCACCCGTCGTGTTGCTTATGTAAGTACAAACCCAGTGATAAGTCTAATTTGGTAGGTCACATTCGGGGAAAAGGGGAGGGGATTGTAGTTACAACAATTGGAACATACCCGTTGTCATCTGTGAAACAGATATTCCATAACGGTCAACCAACTCATGATGGCGTCCGTAAAATTTACGAAGGGGTGATTTCAACTTCTTCACTTGGAACTATTGGTTTAATAGCTTCCTTGTGAGTCGCAACCATATAAAAAGGAAATCATGATAGGAAATACAAGCACTTTGAATATCGTATCAACTGGGAGATATATACTCCGTATACAGGCGCAGCTGGAATTTTGTACATAAAAATGGAAAGTTCACAATTTGGAAGCTGAAATCATCTGTTTTGTCGTTAAGTTTTATTTTCAACCGGCCACTATTGTCAAATTCTAGATGTAAGTCAAGATATGAGACAGACTTAACTGTTTCTGTTGTATCCTTTATCTCAAGTTCGATGGGATAGATGCGTTCAATATAGTCTCCAAATTATTAACTGAGAGAACATCATTTATATAGCGCAAAGTGAAGTTAAAAGATATTGCTAACTTCTTTGGTTTCTTCCTAAGAAGTTTCTGTATAAAATCAGCCTCATATAAACAAAGGAACAAGTCGTCAAGAAGAGGAGCACAGTTGGTTCTCATGGGAATGCCGATTGTTTGTTGAAAAACACGTCCTCCAAACATAAGAAATATGTTGTCAATCAAGAAATCAAACATCTTGATAATGTCAGTTTCAGAGAATTTTTTGTTTGAACCAGGGTGATTTTAAATAAGGTACGATTTATCACTCCCTAAGACAAGATATTTGCATCTACGTTTGCCATTCTTTTTTAAAGAAACACAGCAGGACCAACTCTTTCAAACTGTCTAATAGTTTGGAATGGGAAATATTTGTGTTAAGTGTAGAAAAGTGAAATGTTTTAATACTATTGGAAGATGCAAGAGTCTTAGATTGTGTGTGCTCTAAAAGATCTTTTGAATTTTCTATCTTTTTTTTCATCAGGCTCTGCCTAGACAACAACTCAGTTTCTTTGGGTAAGAACCAGTCGACAATTGGAAATGGCAAACAGCTTGTGGTAAAAGTTTGCGATAAGAAAATCAAATTGGTAATTGGCTAATAGACTATTTCATCTCCAATATACATGAACATAAATTTCAAATATACATGAATATTTACACATGAAGTAATAAACTGTCAATATTTTTGTAAATATATATTGTACATAAAGTTTCAAATTGTACTACTAATCGGCATACACATTATACGTTTTAAAAATTGTTTGATATAACTTCATTAATATGACTAAGTCACATGCACGATTTAAATGTTAATTGTTTCACTCATGACACATGTGCTGCTGAAAATGATTATTGCTGTACAAATGGTAGGCTGCATTTAGACCAGATTCTATCGCTCCTTGTATCCATCCGTTGGTGTATGATATAGCCTCCCCAGCTAAGTAAATAGGGTGATCTGGAGTCATCAGGGTTTTCATTCCTTCATTATACTGAAAAGGAAGGAGACAAGCATACGCGCCTTGTGCGGCGTCGTCGTTAAACCAAGCTTGGACCATACCGACTTCAAACTGTTTACCCATTTCTGGATGAATTTTGCTTACTTCTCTCACAGCGCTTTCAATTGCCTCACTCTTAGTTTGGGAACCAAAGATAAGTGCATCTTGTTCCCATGTATAGGACACTAATATCCCTCTTTCGTTCGGTAGTAGTGGGTCATTCTTGCTAGGATAATGCAACTGGCCAATTGGTAGATTTGTTTTCGTAAATCCACCTTGTCCAACTTCCTTCTCCCAAAACCTTGTTCTGCACTGAAGAGCTACCTTAGTAGAAGGTTGATAATGAATATAACCAATAGCTCTACGATAATCTTCGCCAAGGTCAATATCAATTTGCCGAAGAATGTTTAATGGAACTGTTACAATTACGGCGTCTGCATAAAACAATTTATCTTCGCCTGTCACGACATTTTTTCCTATTACTTCAACCTTATTTCTGTAGATTTTTCGAATTTTATTTATCCTTACACCAAAGCTGATATTTCTTGATAAATCAATAGTTTTCCGTTCGAACGTATATGGTTTAATAAAATGTTTGGCTATTGTTTCCATCCCATCGACCGGAGTTTTAAGCAAATGTGTCCACCACTGTCCTAAATCATCTCGTAAAAATTCCACCAAACTTGTGTCAAAAGCAGGAGAGTAACTTGCGATCTAAAAATACAAAGGTTATCAATTAAACAATGAACAACATAAAACGTTGTGATATTTATGGTTTTATATAAAGACTTACTTTTGCTTCATACTTTATACATTGTTGCATTAGGTTGTCCCTTTAAACACTTACTTTAAAATATAAAATACCTGTACTGCTTTTATATTAACGTTATAGAAACCCTAAAAAATGCGTGAATTCGTTTATATTTTTATAAGTTATGGTGTCTTTACAATGATATAACCTCTCTTATGTATGAGCTGCGTCGGATAGAAATCGACCTTATGGAAATGAATATTAATACCTGTGTTAACCTTTTTCGGGTTGAAAACAAAACTCTACGGAAAAGTCTGTAACTGTTTGAAAATTGAGTTGTTATAAGAAACCTACAAAACAGACCATAATTCGTCTTTTATTTCGTATTTGAATGTTCTAAAATCAATCAAAGTCTTAAAAATGTACATTTTACGTATACTTGCATGAGGTCGATTTCTATCCGACGCAGCTCATATCTTAAATCTAATTTTCTCTAACTTTCTGCCAGTTGCTTTTCTACATTGTTATGCAGAACACCCGAGTTACTTGCCCTGTTCATGCATTCCGTTCAGCCACGTTGTCATCAGGTTCGCTCGAAGCAATGAATATAAAATGTTTGTGAGCATTATAATCCAAATGGACTTAAACGGAACAGCCAGACCTTCTCAGGTCCATGGGTTCTCTTTGCACCTTAGATTTTGAACAATTAAATATTTTATATACTGAAAATTTACAGTCAAAACTGTATCCTTTATTACTTAATCAATTTTACTGCATTTGTATCAGTTGCTTCAATATTTATAAGTTAGGATCGTTTAAACAAAACATATATATTAAGTTTACTACGAATTACCAATGGTTCAGGAGGCAGTTTGTAAAACGTGAATTAGATGATTAGAAATGAGATCCGATATTCACATTTTCTATAATAAAACGTCTCTTAATTATACACCAGTTAAGGCCACATGCGGTTATCAATTAAGTTGTTAAATAATACCTGATATCCTCTGATAGCAATTTCAGGCCAAGGTCTGTAAATGCAGGTGGGTTCAGCTCCAATTTTAGATCTCAAATATGCATTCACAGAGAGCTTACTCCATTTCTCTACCCATTTTTGCCATCCAGTTTGAGGACCATTCGAATCAATCAAAGCCAGAAGATCAGCTTTCACGGGATTGAAGGTTAGGTTGTATAAATGCACTAACATAAACAAATCCAATAATTATAATATTACAGAATCTTGAACATGTTTAATACTCATAAAAATATCTTTTCAATTCTTGGATCACAAAGAAAGTTTACAAAGTATTAAAACTGATTTCTATTTTTATCAAATCAATCAATTAAACTTATTTCGTATCACAAATTAGATTATTGGAATTAACAGCAAAGAATTTTCAAAATTTTTAGAATATCACTATCATTTTTAATTTGAATATGTATACCCTCTGAGATTTGTGGTCACCAGCAATGGCATCGACCCAGCGATAATAATACAAAACTTCATCAAAGCAAATGTAAGGCACCAAATGAGCATTAAATATGTATTTCTTATTAGTAGCACTCAAAAACACTCGACATATCAAAGTTCTAAAAGTCTAATAGAAATAAACAAGCAAATGAAGTAAAAAGTATTTAAAAACACCTTTGACTACGAAGGACAACATTCGAATTTCAAAAAATCACTCTTGTTCAAAAGCCCTGCGTTCAAAGCTGATAGTATTGTCACCACTTTTATTTTTTTTTTGAGGTTTTTAATATTCTTCAAGTACTTAACTGTCCTGATTCGAGCGCGACACAAGAATCTTATGTATACCAAACGCACGGAACGCCTATCTAATTCAAAACCTGATATCTTTAATACTTTCTAACAGCCGCTGGATCCTATCTTTCTGGTGAAATTTTAATCCTCGAAAGAATTACTAGCCAAGTGTTAACATGAAATATCATAAATGTTGTCATCTTCTGTAAATTTACTGTTCATAAAATGTTACAAATATTTAAAATACCTAAGTTTTTCTCTAGCTGAGAGTAAAAATGGGCAAACCCCTTATCAATTTGTTATAACTACTGAATGTCTTTGATTCCTAAAAAATCCTCAAGGGTGACTGCGGAATATGATCACTTAGGTCTTCTTCCGACCGGCAGTAAACCCTTTGGCAAGGTGGGGCGTCCGTTTGGCTGTGCGGGATGTACAAGTACGCAGTTACGCCCAGTCAGAATGGAGACGTTAAATTCGATACCTCGTGTAAAGAGAGTGCCATGCTCTTTGCACGTTAAGAACCCTTGCAACAATTCTTTGAGGTGTCCGTAGGTTGCCTGTTGCAAGGCAGAATTTCTGTCCCTTTCAAATATACCCTCATTTTCCTGTGGCAGTCCAAATTTCCCCGAACTTCATCTCAAGTCTTCTATTACAAGACCTACATATTGTATTTATTGTTAATAAGTTCTCGTCCCGAACATGAATGAAATATTTGCCACTTGACGTTAAGCAACCAATAATCAATCATGATTCTTAAAAATAAAATAAATGGGTATGCAAGGAACGGTGCATGTTATGTCTATTAGCATCATGGCAATTGACTGTTAGAAAATGTGTATTCAACCGTACCCACATTCTAACACTATTGGCCTTTTTGATCGATGCGGATCATGATAAAGTGATTCTTTTCCTTCCTTTCTAACAATATGCTAGCTTTGCATCTGTATTCATTTTGAAAAAAGAAACGACGTCTTAAAGATTTTCCAAGGGTTTACTTAATTTCGATATTCACAAATTTCACATGGTTTTCTTTCGTCCAGCGTTTGACGTTAAATTGTGCCACGCGCGCGTATAAATACACAGCCACTTCTGGTGTCAATGAATATATTACAAAATATAATGCCTCATGTTTGGTAATACCCACGTTTTCTTCAGGTCAATACATTTTAGTAACAAATCCTTTAAGAGTCCATAATCGAACTGTCAGATGGAAAAAAGTCAGCTCCATGTAACATACCTTCTTTCCCAATTACAATCCAGATTCCCATTTCATCCCGACGACATACTTTGCGGAACGTACCTTATGGCGTTTTGACTAAACAAAATTGTGGATTATACATCAAAAAGACGACAATCAACGTTTAATTTGTTCTCGTCCTGATTTTCATATTTTTCACTGAATGTCAGGCAAACGACAATCAAACCATTTTTCATAGTGGTGATGATTCTGTTTTCATAGAATATTGAAGTGTATAAAAAAGTGAAGAGTTTAAATTCCACTACAAAAAGGACTGTATATTGAAAAATTTCAATAGATCTTTGAATGTTTTTGCAGTTAATATATGTTATGTAATATATAAGGCTTATCTCTCCTAATGTTTTTTTTTTTATCTCCCTTTTAAAATAATAAAAGTTTATTAATATCACTAAAGATATCCTACATATTCCATCTACTTTATCCCGTTCGGAATCTGGTATGTTGGCATCCCATCCTGGATAGAATTTGTCCGAGTAAAATTTGTTATTGGTTTCCCAGTCTGAAACATAAAGTTTTTTTATTTACTTTCTTCACAGCAAAATGTGTACAAGCAATAATGTAATTATTGAATTAAATGCAAAATGTGTTTAACAATATACATCTCCAATTAATACATTTGCATATAAATAAGTTCTGAAAGAAGCTCTTGGCGTGTTTTTGTACATACACATCTATGGCTCTCAATATTTGGCTTTGAGCGTTTCTGATGAAATTAACCCAGAAAAGCACTTCAGACGCATATAATTTATATGTGTCTAGTAAACTTCAGTATAACTGGATACTCTTTCAACAGCTCCCTTTGATCAACTCAACCAGTTGACGCTAGCTAATCCAAGCGAATATACTAGTTCTTTTAGGCACAAATGATCAAGTGTTATTTTCGTATTTTTGGTTCTTCATTCTGACAGTTCTGTCTAAATATTAAATTAACTGCAATACAATTGTACAACAGTTCACTAAAGGTTCAGGTTTATAACCAACTAGTCTAGATCAATATCGAATTTTAAGAACTACATTTAGGTTTAGAAACATACCAATCTACCCTTTGTAACAGTGATGTTTAATATTTACGTAATGTCTGTTCAAGTTTAAAGAAATAAAGAGAAAATTTCGGAAAAAAGTATCATATGTACTTTCTATCATCTACACTATAACGCATATAGGTACAGTATTTCTTATCTTTTCAATTAAATAATCTTTTGATTTTAGAAAAAAAAAAAAATTCCTTTGAATTTTGCCTTCGCAGCAATTGTATTGGAAAAAGTGTTAATCAGTCGATTTTGTTGGTATTTTTGTAATTTATCATATCAAACTTCGCGCATTAAGAAATTCTGACATATTCTTATAAAAATATGCAGCCACTTGTTTTACGCTTGGAAACATTACAGACGTTATTTTCCTTACAAATTCGTATAACTTGCTAGCTATATCGTTTTTGTCATGTTAAGATTTGATGAGAATGATTATATACAATTATGCCTTCATCAAAAGTTATTAATCAAAATTATAAAATCTTGAAGAAGTTGTTTTTACTCGGTTTTACGAAACTGAAATGTTTATACATGTAAATAGTTGTTTTCATTTTTGTATGTTAGTTTTTACAATATGTTTCACTTGTTTGGGACATAATAGAGCTTCTCGTGCAGTGAAGGTATTTCAAAATTGTACCAAGTCAGGAATATGACAGTTGTTGTCCATTCGTTTGATGTGTTTTGTCATTTGATTTTGCCATGTGATTAGGGACTTTCCGATTGAATTTTCCTCGGAGTTCAGTATTTTTGTGATTTTACTTTTTTTTTTGTATAGGGCAGTATGCCGCGAAAATGTTACATATATAATAAAACAGATGCAAAACGCAAAGCTGACGTTGAAAGTTGAAGTTCTACTTTTATATGGATGTCTACGTTGAATTATAAAATGTATGTAATGAATTATTATTATCTTGTGCTTTTAACTTTTCTAATATTTTTGTAGGAGAACATATAGAAGTAAACGATAAAATATCATACAGTATTACCTTTTGTTCTAATTTTACCAATACCATCGAGGTACAACCAAGCGTCACCGTTGTAATTTTGAAAATATCTCAAGTCTATGCCAAATTTTTTGATGTATCCATTAGTGCAGTAATGATTTTTAGGAATTCGCATGGCACCACCTAGAAAGCACCACAAAAATATATGATAATCATAAAACGTATTTTATAATCTTGACATTTAGACAATCATGAAACTTTCTTCATTATTTGAGTTCTTTCAAATGACAACTGCAAAAATACAAAAATAAAACTGCCTAGTTTAGCATTTCATCTATGCATCTTCTTATAAATGAAACTTGGATTCAATATGTTTGCTTTTCTATTATGATGTTTGAGAGACGCCATAAGTATGTCATGCTTGGCTTGTCTATTATGATGTTTGAGAGACGCCATAAGTGTGTCATGCTTGGCTTGTCTATTATGATGTTTGAGAGACGCCATAAGTATGTCATGCTTGACATGTCTGACAAACCTTGTCATTCATACAAAAATTAATATGAACAACAGTTTCACCTTAATGAAATTAGAGTCAGACACATTTAATTGTAACCATATGAATTCCATTTGATATTTCTATTATTCTCCGGTTTTTGAAAATTTTAAATGTATGAATATTTCCTTCCAAAAACAAGATATTTTTATCTCCGTTAGCCAATCTTGTTTACGAAAAAAATTTGGACTATTTCTTTCAATTTGTTTATATGTTCCAAATGAGGAATACGTGTGTAGAGAAGTAAATTTTGTTATACTATCATGACTATTGCATGAATAAAGTCTTGGATTGTATGTTTTCTAACATATCTTTGGATTTGTTAAGGATCCACATCTTATTTACAAAGCCCCTTTTGGGTATCCAGTACAGTGACCGGAGATCCAGTTCTTAATCTTTGGTTGAAATTCCAAGGGACCATAACACCGACTTATGACTGTTCCGGATTTCCTCTTTGTTAGAGTCGTGGGAGTATGTGTTGAGCTGAATAGGGAATTGGAGTTTACATTATGTGATTTATATTCACAAACGATCTTGTTTGCAGCTTTGCTTGCGGGGATAACACACTATTTGCCATTGAGTTATTTAAAGACAGGTATTATTAACATTTTGATCTTTGAAATTAGATGTAGCATAGTGTTCATACAACCGTTTAGTTTTTTAAATTTTGATTTGTATCAACGAGCGCACAGCATTAACCCTATTGGTAAATACCTTCAGCATGCAGTCCATCAGAGAATCCAGCGTTAAGTGTTTTCGTTCGACCACCTACTCTGTGTTGAAGCTCTACAATTTGAGTCTAAAATAAAAGTCGAATAATTTTACTTATTTTCGATGTACTATATAAATGTCCGCTAGTTTCTCGATCATATTTCTGTCAGCAGTCAATGAAAATATACATGATTAAAAAATCTTGTTACCAAAACATTGATTGATTTGTGTTAAAAAAATGTATAACTTTTATAGCTCAATTTTCATAATAGGAAGAACCCGAGTAAATTTAGGGGGAAGTCAACCGAACTAAGAATTGAAAAGGTATGATAAGTATAAATAAGAAGATGTGGTATGAGTGCCAATGGACAACAATGTGTTAAAAGTAAACAATTATAGGTCAAAGTACGGCCTTCAACACGGAGCCTTGGCTTACACTGAACAGCAAGCTATAAAAGGCCCCAAAAAGACTAGTGTAAAGCAATTCAAACAGGAAAACCAACGGTCTAATCTATATAAAAAACGAGAAACGAGAAACACTTATGAACCACACCAACAAACGACAACCACTGAACAGGCCCTGACTTAGGACATCGAAATTACTAAATATTCTACACACCAAACACCGGCAAAGATGTAGTTCAATAAATGCTGATCAATACTGTTTTAATTTCGTGTACTCTGAAGGCTGTAAATGGGTCATTAAAGACTCAATATATTATTTTACTTGAATGATTTTGAAATACATTGTAACGCGGACATTTGAAAACTAGTCTAAATTTCCTAAGGGATTAAAAAACTTTACTTTTTGGAGATGATGCTTTGTCTGAAGATTTAAAAACGTAACATATTTATCATTTTTATTGTTTGGGGGTTGGCTCGAGTTCATATCAATTTTGTTCCGAACGATGTGAGATAACCATTTTAGATAAAATAAAATATGCATATTTATTACTTCAAAGTGACATTACAAAAGACATTTAGTTTTTTTTACTAGAATGTCCATATTATATCATTCTTTTTAATCATTTATAACATTTACACGATTTTGAAAGGCTTTAAAAAAATATTAGTTTTTTCTTTCAGTATAAAATTATTTAACCTCCTCCGCTCTCTTAAACCGTTTTAATTCTGATTTTTATAAATAGCTAAATCGTTATGAATGAAAACTTGGTAACCATTTTGTGCTGTCACACATGATCACAATGAAATAAATTTCATTTCACTTTATAACATTATATTTGTCTCTCTGCAAAACAAACCAAACTTTCAACTTCTATACGAAAATAGAATGTTCTGAATTGCATGAAATTCTGACTCAATCACACTCAAAATACAGCAAATTTTAGCAAGCGCGTCTTGAGGAACACTGTCAATCAAGCTAAATTTAATTACTTGAAAAATACATACTGTATATAAATATCACGAATTTTCTGAATATATTATTGTATTAAAAAAAGGGTGATGCAGAGAAAAATAGCAACATATCTTACATTGTATCCTACTTTTTCTAATTCAAATGCAGCAGACAATCCAGAAATCCCGGCTCCAACAATCACAACTGATTTGGCTCCCGTTATTTTACCACTTCCCGTGCATATACTTGGGCCATATTTCTCGAAAGTAGACCTTAAGCTGCCTTTGATAATATTCATATAAAATTCTTCACAACAATCATCTTGCTGCACTGGTTCTGGCTGCGGAGAAGGAGGAAGATCCTTTCCTTCAGTCGAAAAAGGATTTTGCATCTGCTTTAAAGGCAAAGTATTAATGTAGGGACAGCAGAACGTTGGGTGTGACGTATTCAGAAAGTATCTATCTGTTAAAATAGTAATGTTTGGAAGAAAAAATACAAATACATTTGCCAAGGGATATTACATACGGTTATTACATACTGTTTTGGATTTCAATGAACGTAAGGATATGTTTTACTGGTAAATTATTGAGTCATGGATTTCGTTTCCACAAATTACTTCAAACTTATACATGTTATACTAAATTAAAATTTGGTTGGGAAGTTTGGCTGTACATGTAGAAGACTTAATGCAAACGGAATAACACATCCGAATTTTTACGGTGATATTGATTACAGAGCCCGTAAATTTAGATACGGGTAAACTTATAAATCTGTTAAATAAACTTATTCCAAAAAGGTTACTAGTTCAACACTGTAATTGGATCTTTGAATATTGTTTTTATCGGTTTAAATGTTGATTTTGTTATCAGTAAATTAAAACCTACAATGTCCGGTCTGTTTTTTTTTTTTAGATGTCATTCTGCACTGAATCGATCTGATGAGTTAAGCCTTTTTCAACTGATTTTTATAGTGTGTTATGTTGTACTGTTACACCACTGTCCCGGGTTAGGGGAAGGGTTTGGCCTCAGCAAACATGTTTAACCCCGCCGCATTCTATTTGTGCCTGTTCCAAGTCTGGAACCTGTAATTCAGTGGTTGTCGTTTGTTTCTGTATATTATACTTGTATTTCGTTCATTATTTTGTATATAAATCAGGCCGTTAGTTTTCTCGTTTGAATTGCTTTACATTGTCATTTCGGTACCTGTAAAAGCTTCCTATGCGGTATGGGTTTGGTCATTGTTGAAGGCTGTTCAGGGACCTATAGTTGTTAACTTCTATGTCATTTGATCTCTGGGTGAGAGATGTTTCATTGGCAATCGTACCTCATCTTCTTATTTGTTTAAAAGTAATATAAATGGAGAAAATTGATCCACGAAATAAAAGTCGCGACATTTTTAAATGCGTATTTATTCATTAGGCGTCTTTACTCGGTCCGTTGTCTATTGTTGAAGGCTGTAATATATATATTGACCTCGTTATATCTTTTTTCGTTCTAGCATGTTGTTAAATTGATGTCGTATTTACAAATAAACAACATCTCAAAGGTTTTGTTTATATTTAAAATTGAATGGACATAATTTAAACGCAAATTAAAACGTGAACGATATAAGGTTTACTCATCAACAAATTGTTTTAATTTTTTTAAAGTGTTATAATTTGTTGAAGGTTGATTTGAGGTAACCTTAAGATGTAATAATTTGATCGTGAAGGTTGATAATGTGCTAACCTTTAGTTGTTGTAATATTTAGCTGATGATTGATAATCATGTGCTAACCTTAAGGTGTGGTGATATTTTGCTAATGATTGATAATCATGCGCTAACCTTAAGGTGGGGTGATATTTTGCTGATGATTGATAATCATGTGCTAACCTTAAGTTGTTGTAATATTTTGCTGATGATGGATAATCATGCGCTTACCTTAAGTTGTTGTAATATTTTGCTGATATTTGATAATCATGCGCTAACCTTAAGTTGTTGTAATATTTTGCTGATGATGGATAATCATGCGCTAACCTTAAGTTGTTGTAATATTTTGCTGATGATTGATAATCATGCGCTAACCTTAAGGTGTGGTGATAATTTGCTGATGATTGATGATCATGCGCTAACTTTAAGGTGTGGTGATAATTTGCTAATGATTGATAACCATGCGCTAACCTTAAGGTGTGGAAATATTTTGCTGATGATTGATATTCATGCGCTAACCTTAAGTTGTTCTAATACTAGTATTTTGCTGATGATTGATAATCATGCGCTAATCTTAAGTTGTTGTAATATTTTGCTGATGATGGATAATCAGGCGCTAACCTTAAGTTGTTGTAATATTTTGCTGATGATTGATAATCATGCGCTAACCTTAAGGTGTGGTGATATTTTGCTAATGATTGATAATCATGCGCTAACCTTAAGGTGTGGAAATATTTTGCTGATGATGGATAATCATGCGCTAACCTTAAGTTGTTGTAATATTTTGCTGATGATGGATAATCATGCGCTAACTTTAAAGTGTGGTGATATTTTGCTGATGATTGATGATCATGCGCTAACTTTAAGGTGTGGTGATATTTTGCTGATGATTGATAATCATGCGCTAACTTTAAGGTGTGGTGATATTTTGCTGATGATTGATGATCATGCGCTAACTTTAAGATGTGGTGATATTTTGCTGATGATTGATGATCATGCGCTAACTTTAAGGTGTGGTGATATTTTGCTGATGATTGATAATCATGCGCTAACCTTTACGAACTAGAAATAAAGGCTATACAGTTAAGTCTGCCTCATATCTTGACTTACATCTAGAAATTGACAATTAGGGTCGGTTGAAAACAAAACTTTACGACGAAAGATATGATTTTAGCTTCCCTATTGTGAACTTTCCATTTCTATGTAGCAACATTCCCACAGCGCCTGCATAAGGAGTATATATCTCCCAAATGATACGATATTCCCGGGCATGTATTTCCTATTATGATTTCCTTGATAGAGGGTTGCAGCTCACAAGGAAGCTATCAAACCAAGAGTTCCAAATGGTGAAGTTGAAATCATCCCTTCTTAAATTTTACGGACGCCATCACGAGTTGGTTGACCGTTATGGAATATCCGTTTCACAGATGATAGCGGATATGTTTTTAATGTCGTAACTACAATCTCGTTCCCTTTTCATAAATGTGACCTACCGAATTAGACTATTCACCGGGTTTGTACTAACATGAGCAACACGACAGGTGCCACATGTGGAGCAGGATCTGCTTACCCTTCCGGAGCACCTGAGATCACCCCAAGATTTTGGTGGGGTAGGTGTTGCTCAGTCTTTAGTTTTCTATGTTGTGTTTTGTGTACTATTGTTTGTCTGTTTGTCTTTTACTTTTTCAGCCATGGCGTTGTCAGTTTATTTTCGATTTATGAGTTTGAATGTCCCTCTGGTATCTTTCGCCCCTCTTTTAAAGTGCGATGATATTTTGGTGATGATTGATAATCATGCGCTAACCTTAAGGTGTGGTGATATTTTGCTGATGATTGATAATCATGCGCTAACCTTAAAGTGTGGTGATATGTTGTTCATGATAAATGATCATGCGCTAACCTTAAAGTGTGGTGATATTTTGTTGATGATAGATGACCATACGCTAACATTAAGATGTGATATATTTTTGAAGATTGATGAGCATGCGGTAACATTAAAATGTGAAATCTTTTTGATGTTTGATGAGTATGCGGTAACCTTAAGCTGTGGTATCTTGTTGATGATTGACGAGCATGTGGTAACCTTAAGGTGTGAATTGTTTTTGGAAAATTGATGAGCATACGCTTACCTAAAGGTGTGAAATCTTGTTGATTATTGATGACCATGCGCTAACCTTAAGGTGTGATATCTTTTTGATAATTGATGAGAATGCGGTAACATTCAAGTGTGACATCTTTTTGAAGATTGATGAAAATGTGGTAACCTAAAGGTGTGAAATCTTGTTGATTATTGATGACCATACGCTAACCTTAAGGTGTGATATCTTTTTGATAATTGATGAGAATGCGGTAACATTAAAGTGTGACATCTTTTTGAAGATTGATGAGAATGTGGTAACCTTAAGGTGTGAAATCTTGTTGATGATTGATGACCATACGCTAATCTTAAGGTGTGATATCTTTTTGATAATTGATGAGAATGCGGTAACATTCAAGTGTGACATCTTTTTGAAGATTGATGAAAATGTGGTAACCTAAAGGTGTGAAATCTTGTTGATTATTGATGACCATACGCTAACCTTAAGGTGTGATATCTTTTTGATAATTGATGAGAATGCGGTAACATTAAAGTGTGACATCTTTTTGAAGATTGATGAGAATGTGGTAACCTTAAGGTGTGAAATCTTGTTGATGATTGATGACCATACGCTAATCTTAAGGTGTGATATCTTTTTGATAATTGATGAGAATGCGGTAACATTCAAGTGTGACATCTTTTTGAAGATTGATGAGAATGTGGTAACCTTAAGGTGTGAAATCTTGTTGATGATTGATGACCATACGCTAACCTTCAGGTGTGATATCTTTTTGATAATTGATGAGAATGCGGTAACATTCCAGTGTGACATCTTGTTGACGATTGATGAGAATGTGGTAACCTTAAGGTGTGAAATCTTGTTGATGATTGATGAGAATGTGGTAACTTAAGGTGTGAAATCTTGTTGATAATTGATGATCATGCGGTAACCTTAAGGTGTGAAATCTTGTTGATGATTGATGATCAAGCGGTAACCTTTATGTGTGATATCTTGTTTGTTGATGATTGGTGATCATGCGATAACCTCAAGGTGTGATATCTTGTTGACGATTGATGATCATTAGGTAACCTTAAGGTATGATATGTTGTTGATGATTAATTGTCATGCGCTAACCTTAAAATGTGATATTTTGAAAATCCATATACATGGGATAATCCCAGATTAAATATCTTATTGGGTCAATCACATCAACTTTTTTGTAATTCTAGATCATAAATATAATGTCCACCAATGGTTACATATATAATTTTCAATGTTGAATTATCACATGACAGACAATGAACCGGATACACGATAATGAGGCATATTATAATGATGCGAATAAGGTAAACAGGTAAAAGTATGGGATTTTAATCTAATTTGATTTGTTTCGCTGGTTTATTGAGATTTAAAAAAATACAGGGGTCACCAAGTCTCGACCTAGACTACTTAGGTATTTATATATCACGAGTTGCTTGAATACACACATTTTACTTTCATTTAAAAAATCAAGAACACAAACATTGTAAAACTACAAAATAAAATCACTCAATTGTATTTAAGCTTATTTGATAATTTTAAAGGCTTATTGCACCAAATTGAATATTGGTGAATATTGTCCTTAGTGAATTTACTATCACACAAGCTTGGGCCTTCTATCAATATTCTACGAAGGATAATATTGACCAAAATTAATGGTATTAACTCGCTAATTGTATGACCTCACCTCATTTAAAGACCAATTTTAATCGACGTCTAATCGAGACTTGTTTTCAAAATTTATTATATACCACATGTTCACGGAATTGAAGTTCTGTAATCTGTGTTAAAGACACGCTGATGATACTCAATTAGCTTCTTTTTTCTTTAATTTGATAAATATACGTTATTTGGCAATCTCTTTAATGTAAAAGAGACTTCATATTTCTTTCATTTATTTACCCTTCTCTTTTTCAAGTTCCTTTTGTTTTCTTTGTAGTTCTTCCTGAAGTTTTCTCTTCTCATTTTCTATCCTCTGTTTCCTCAAACTCTCATCTGTAATTTTAAGAGATTCCTTAAGGTTAACGAGTTCCTCATCTTCTTCATGTGACTCGTAATTGATTGACCGATCTAAACTGATAGCATCGTCTAGTTTTGTCTTTACGCTGCGTTGCCTTTTCGTCTCCATTTCGTTTTGCACATTAACATAAACCCTGTAAGATATATGGTTTAGAAGTTTGTTGTAAAGGCTATTGATAAAAATACTGATAAGTGTTATTTACCAAAAATTATACGAATCGCTTGGAGTGATCAAAGGGTTCATCGGGAATGTTTTACTAACTAAACTTAAAATGCAGATACTTTGCTCGACCTAACATAAAGTTTAGTTCAATTTTTCTGTGATTTAGAAAGAAAGAGAAATGAGAGGACTGGGCGCAATTAATCGTCCTAATTCAAGTTATATAAATACTGCATTTTTGACGAAAACAAATATAAAAAAATCGCCTTTTTATCTGCAATAAACTATATTGAACATAAAACACAACATGCCCACAGGTTCAAACATATTAATTAACCAGCATGTCCGATGGAAAATTAGATATAAGGGAATAATATTCCCAATTTAGAAATACATTTTTTAGCACGAAGAAAAAAACCCGTTCAGTTCTTAATTATATATAACGAACTGGCAATTCAACATGTAGTAGGAGTTATGATAAAAGCTATTTTCGCTGAAATTAGTAAAACCATTCATTAGTTTAAATCAAAATTATCTGATTAATGAATAAAAATATATAAGCAGGATACTTCTGTGCAAAAAATTTCAGTTGTGTTGTCACTTTTTAACATTATAAACATGTCTCAACTAGCATATAGGATCTACATTTCCCACTTTTATATAGTTTTTGAAAATTAAATATGAGCAACAGCTTTACGTGTAAATATATTTAAGCCAAACCAACATTCCTAAAGAAGACTTGCAGAAAAATCATCTTTTTGGGTATTGCTCATGCTCATTGTTAAGTATTGATATCTGACAGACTAATCTGAAAGGATGTTTTTTGAAATATTTATCATACATTTTGATTTTCAATTTGAAAGGGACAAAAAGTAGCTTATGCATTATGTACATCCTTCTATTTTATTCACAACTTGTTTAACTATGTGCGATTTACAGATAGTCACTTGTCTAATAGCCAAGGCCGTCATTTGTTGACCTCTCGATCTCTTGTTTGATTTTGTTGTGGTGTTGGTTTGTTTACATTGTATCGCATTTACGTATACGCCACATATATTTTTGTTCATATATGGAAAGTCCTCCTAAGTTTGCATGTTTGTGTAAATACTGTATGGTGTTCACAAAATACATAACAGTGCATGTTTAAAGAAAAAAATCATCAGTTCAAGAAAACATGAAGGTTGTGCTGACGTTTTGAGAACAACTAAACCGCCTTGGGGGTGTCGTGATAAACTTTTAGCCTCGGGTGCGGGTGTTCGTGGGTTTGATCCCCGGCTAGGTCCAACCAAAAACTTTAATCTCGGATTTTATTGCTTCTCCTTTAAGTTCGCGGCATTTAGTAATAAGAGCAGAGTCGATTTGTAATACTGATGAATGAAAGGGTGATGTTATTATGTCATTTGAAACCGCTATGAAATGTAAACAATTTGATTTTAACCGATAACAAAAGGTATTGGTGTAATTAAATGTAAGAACAGCCTTACAAAGTAAGATGTTTCATTTGCTCTAATATCTGTGCATACGCCACCATGTGGATAAAGTAAGGTGAATGCAATTTACTAAATTTGAATCCAGGAGATTATTTTGGCATTATTTAATCGAAAAATATTACAACTAATTAAAGAACTGCCAATGAAGACCATTAAGCTGAGATATATCGTGAATTGTGGTGAGATTAAATTGCTTTAAAAGAGAGGCGAAAGATACCGAAGGGTAGAAAATAAACAGACAACGCAATGGCAAAAAAAGAAAAAAAAAACACCAAAATACAAACAACAGTATACAAAACACAACACGAACCCAACCAAAAACCGGGGTGTTCTCTGGTGTTCGGGAAGGATAAGCATATCTTGCTCCACATGTGGCACCCGTCATGAAAACAACCAACAGAAATACTCGCACAAAATGCGATTTCGTATGATAATTAAAAAAAAGTTAAACAACTTACCTTTTTAATTTTTATTATGTTTCCGCTGTGTTTGATTTTAGTCCATACAAAATTACGTACAAGTATATACAGTAATTCTATTTCTGTTATATGGCAACAGCATACACGTGTTTTGTCTTTCTTGCTTGCTAACAGATAGTTGTACTTACCTATACATTTGTGTAAAGGATATACTACACCACAAGAAAACTACATTTATATGACATTACAATTGTTTAGGTTGTTGCATGGAAATCTCAAAATTCGAATGGTATGTTAACCGTTGCATAGTAGTTAAACAAAACTATATAAGCAATTTGTTATACCTACACAATAACGTTTTGTTCTTTTCTGTTTGTTATTGAATAAAAAACAATAAATATTACTTGTTGCTATCATCTGACATCCTTGGTGATGTTCTATTTTTCGCGGATGTTTTCTTCAGTGATTGTTCAAAATATTATTTAATAATAATCTACGGTTTACTTCCTCCTATCTAACAATTAATACATTGTCATGATTATAAAAAAGAAGTAAATCTGTTATGCTGCTATGTATAAATAATACATAATAGAAGGTAAAAATTCTACTTAAAGTTAAAGATTTAAAGTAAAAATTCTACTTAAAGTTAAAGATTTAAAGTAAAAAGTTCAATCTTTATTAACATGCAGTTTAACACACAAAGATTAAATTTCACATTATGTGTTTAAAATATATTGCACTGTTTGTATCTTATATCATGCAAGACAAAGTAATTTGACAATGAACCGGATTTGAAATACGAATGTGATAGTTTATAATATTTTTTTCTCAAGTTTTACTTAATATACATATATTGCAAAGCATTTAAAACGTGGCTTTAAAATACTCTTAGTTACATTTGAACATTAGTAATAATATGGTTCAAATATCTTACTCATATTTAATTAACGAATCCAGTAAATACCCAAGACATCCCTAAATACCTAATTGATAGGTGGTGTCCCTGGGGCTCTGTTTCCTAATCTTTTCACATTGGATGTCTGACAATGAAACAATTTCCAAACTTAACACATTTATCACTGAATTAGAGGAATCTGAAATAAACCAGTTACATTCAGACAATAAATATGAAGATTTTGTTACATACTATAATATATTGTACATACTGAAATGGATTTAAAGCTAAATAAACGTAAAACTAATATATATGATGGCAAAAGTAACAAAAGGAGACGTATGAAAAAATCGTGGTGGAACGACAACTTAACACTACTTTGGAACGATGTATGTAAAGCCGAGCGTGCGTGGCATAAGTGTCATAGCGGATGCAAGAAGGATTTACGCCATATATTTGTAGAAAAAAGGAAATTATTCGACAAAAGCAGTCAGAAAGCTTAACGACAGTTTTGGTTTCACAGTCAGGAACAACTTCTAGATGACCAACAACGGGATCATCGAGAGTTCTGGAAGAACATTGGTAAAGTCAGCGTTGGAAATGAACGACAGAAATCTATACCCGTCCGATGGAAGTGACACTAGACGATGGAACAACTAGTACAGATACAAAGACTGTGTTAAATAAATGGAAAAATTGTTTTGATAAATTATTAAATTGTAATAATCAGACCATTGACACTAATGTTAATATTAATATTCCAGATGATTTTTTAGATAGGGAAATATTGTTTGAAGAAGTAGTAAAAGCTGTTGCTGAAAGTAAAAATGGGAAGTCACCAGGTATTGATCAGTTGTCAGTAGAATTATTAAGAAATAATGTATTGACGTTAATTTTGCATAAATTATTTAATATATGTTTCAAGTATGGAAAAATTCCTTCTGTATGGGGTAAAAGTATTATAACCCCAATTCCTAACTCTTCAACTTCAGATCCACGAGATCCTTTATCATACAGGGGCATAACTTTAGCTCCCTGTGCATATAAATTAAATTGAAGTGTACTAAATGATAGATTAGTGTATTGGTTAGAACAAAGAGATATTATTCATGATGAGCAAAATGGCTTCCGTAAAGGTAGAAGTACCATTGACCATCTAAGTACATTAACTTCAATTATTGAAACTAGAAAACTGAAAAAGTTATCAACATTCACAGCTTTCATAGATTTTAAAAAAGCGTATGATACTGTTAGTAGAAAATTATTGTTTACTAAATTGGATGATTTAGGAGTTAGTACACATTTTGTATGTACATTGAAAGCTATATATTCACATGTAGAATGTTGTATAAACGTAATGGTAATATGACAGACTGGTTTAGCGTTAATTCAGGTTTAATACAAGGATGTGTATTATCGCCTGTTATGTTCAATATTTTTATTAATAGTTTAATTGATGTAATAAAAGCACTAGACATTGGTGTAGACATTGATGGTGAAAAAGTTGGTATACTTTTTTATATGCTAATGACATTGTATTTATTGCTGAAAATGAAAATAATTTACAGACTCTATTAGATGTATTAAGTAATTGGTGTGTTACCAATTGTATGAATGTGAACTTAGATAAAACAAAAGTTGTCCATTTTAGGAACCCTTCGGTTCAACAAACATCTAAATCTTTTTTTTTTAAATAATAATACAGTACAACTAGTATCTTGTTACCAATATCTGGGTCTACTGTTGACAGAATATCTCGATTATAATGAGATGGCTAAAGCTGTACCAAGGTCTGCAAGTCCAGCTCTAAGTTTATTGATTGTTAAAAGTAAAGCACATGGTGGTTTCCAGCACAGTACCTTTACAACATTATTTGATACTCTGGTCTGGTCAGTCATAAGCTACGGTGCATCCATTTGGGGCACTCGTTCATTTTCTTGTATAAACGCTGTCCAGAACAGAGCTATCAGGTTTTTTATAGGTGTTGGCAAGTATACGCCAAATGATGCTATTAACGGGGACATGGGCTGGAGACCACCTAGTGTAAAACAATGGACATGTGTCTTTAGGCACTGGGCAAGATGTAGTGTCATGATCAATGACAGAATAAATTATAAAGTTTTCAAATGGTCACATAAAAATGCTGTAAATAATAAGAAAAATTGGTGTAATAGAGTCATGAAAAAACTTAAAGATTGTAATTTTGATTTGTATACTAGTATTGATAGTGTGCTGCATAAGAATATTGTTCTACAACTTGAAAATGTTTTATTTAATAAATATATTGCAGAATGGCAAACGAAAATTTTGTCACAGGGTAATGGTAACAAGCTTCGTACTTATAAGCTATATAAATCACAATGTTGTACAGAGTTATATTTAAAACAAAATATGTCTATTAAATTTAGAAGTGCTTATGAAAAATTTAGATGTGGCGTTGCGCCACTTAAAATAGAAACAGGACGATATGAAAATAAACCAATAAATGAAAGATCTTGTTTTATGTGTAAAAATGAAATTGAAGATGAAAAACATGTATTTACTTTATGTCCTTTATATGCAGACCTTCAAAATATATTTTATAATGAAGCAGTAAAACATAATGATCAATTTTGTAACTTGTCAAATGACGAAAAGTTTATATTTTTATTCAGAAATGAAGAACTATATCAGGTAGTTGCTACATGTAAAACCTGCTTTAATATTTTATGTAGATGAACAAATTTCTTATTTGTATAAAGCTGATGATGTATTTTGAATCTTAGATATATATAGTTTTAAAATTATGTAAAATATTGTATATACTTAATCATTTAATAGTCTCTCATAATTCTTAATAGAATGGCGCTTGTATATGTTTTAGTATTTAAGCTAATGAAATTTTACTGTTAGTTTTAATATACTATATGTTTTATATATGTTTTCCAATATTTTATGTTACACGCAAAGTTTTATATGTATATTGGAATGTATAATGTTATACAAGTGGTGAGACTTTAATAAAATATTGAATCTGAATCTGAATCTATAATTTAGATTTTAAAAATGTATACCTTTTTATATATTGCATAGGTAAAAATGTAACCTTTTCGGTTGGGTTTCGTGTGGTGTGTTTGAAAAGTAGAATACCAAAGTGTCAAAAGAGAATCACATTCCGGAATAATCGAGAAAATATCACCTTTGATGGGAGCTCAGATTCCTTATGTAATATTTACTAACGGCGAGTCTTTCGGCTGTGAAAAAATACAGGACTTTTCATATAAAAAGTAATGAAAAATTTATTTACCTTCTTTTTGTCTTTATGTTAGTTGTTGTTCTGCTTGGTGCCGATCGGACGAGTAAACTATGGAGCCATTTCCAACTGATTTTCAAAGTTTGTTCTTATGTTGTTTTGTAACACCACTGTCCATGGTTAGGGGCAGAGTTGAGCGCCCACAAACATGGTTAACCCCACTGCATTCTTTGTTTGCCTGTCCCAAGTAAGGAGCCTGTAATTTAGTGGTTGTCGTTGGTTGCTGTCTGTCATGTTTGTTTTCCTTTATTGTTTTGTCATTAATCAGGCCGTTGGTTTTTCGTTTTAATTGTTTTACCTTCTGTCATTTATAGGTGGCTATACGGTATGGGTTTTGTGCATTTCTGGTTGCCGGGACGGTGACCTATAGTTGCGTAAATTCGCTTCATTTAGACTCTGTTGGATAGTTGTCTCATTGTCAATCACATGAATTACTACGCAAAATGTCTAACTGCACATTTTCGACAAATATATAGAAACGATTACAATGCATGATATGACACGTATTAAATTAATTTCGGAAGCGTGAAACCTTTTTAATTTTTTTTTCGTCAGTGGACATGGATTTTTAAAACGATTACATGGTCCGAAAACAAAACTTGAAGCCTGATCAAGAAAAATTTGCCGTAAAGAATTTTGTCAACAGTTGACGTCTTACTCATGGCACTATCTAAAACATTATTTTCACATCTACATACAGTTTTGCATTGCATGTATCTAAATTTGGTATTTTTTTTTGAAAATGTTGGGCGAAGCCATAACCATTCATTTATTTGCAATTGAAGCTAAAACTTTTGTTTTAATATTCTTGTACTGGCCTGATAGTTAATTACTTTTTATATCCACGAATGAAGTGTTTGTCGGCATCAACACAAGGTGCCTATATTTTCTTTTTTTGTTAGAATATCATACAACAGCATTAAAAATCTGTTCTTGTGATCCCTACGGATGAATGGTTTTACACAAATTCAGTGCTCTATAAGTCTACGGTTACTAACATTTATGTCGATAACAATAAAAAATGACAATATGTCTTTTTTTTTATAAATAATCTTGTACTTGCCTGATAATTGAGTACTTTTTATTCCTCATGATGGATTGTTAGACACAAAAGTGAAGAAATTTAAGTTTAAAATTGGAAAATTAGTTGTCGCATCAAAAAAATTTTCCATTATTTTCCATTTTGTTTGAATATTATACAACGCATTAACATACTGTTCTTTTGGTCCCTAATGATGTATAGTTTTACACAACTTGAGAGCTCTATTAGTCTGTGGATACTA